AGGTTGGGCAATCCTACTTCCGTAGTGATACTGCCTTGGAAACCCAAGGAGGGGTCGCTATGAGTCAGGGCTGACTCGACGGCACATAACAACAGCAAGAAGTTTTATAGCTGATAACTGGACAGTGAAGGAAAGACAAAATATACAACCAGTAATGAACTGTAAGAGCATAGTTCTTTAAAGCCACTTAATAGGTTTAGATAATCCTGTAGAAGAACCTTAAATTGGTACCTGAAAATACTAACTAGTTTGTAGTATTTATGTAGGTGACTTGTACTTACCACAGAACAGTAAAATTCTAAAAAGACAATATTTCATTATCTGTAAATAGCCAATCAAAAATTGTTCAAATAAAAAACTTTGGTACTATGAAAAATACTCAGTTTTTTGAAGTTGTATACATTTGAATTACTTTCTCCAAAGATGCCAAATAACTGAAGCCTATAGAAACTTATAGTCAGTTTAGGGAGGTAAGAAATCCATATGCAAAGAGAGCTCAGTCTAAGGCAATTTAAAAAAGGTATTTAATGGTACAGGTAATAAGAACTGTTGAAGCTCAGAGAAGAAGAAGGACTCTTGGGCTAGGTGACCAGAGAGGCTTTATTTAGAAAGGATGGCAAGATAAAGAGGATTTCAGTACGTAGGCAGTATCACTACGGAAGTAGGAATGCCCAACCTTCCTTCCGAGGAGTGGCTGGTGGGTTTGAACCACCAGCCTCCTGGTTAGCAGTCAAGTGCGTTAGGCACTATGCTACCAAAGCTCCCAGTCTCTTATATAAGATGGTACAATATTTATATATAACCTCTGCACATTCTCCGTTACACTTTAAATCATCTCTGGATTACTTACAACGTAAGTAAGAATACAATGTAAATGGTAATGTAAATAGCACTTACTGCTCCCTCACAGCCTTTGAAGGATTGCTTGGACCTCTTAATTACTACCCCCTTTAATGTTATTTTTGATCTGTGGTTAGTTGAATCCATGGATGTGGAACCCCATAGATACTGAGAGCTGACAGGATTTTGGATTCTCAGCTTTGTAATTTAGCTAACTTTTCACGTGTCTGAGCTGCCTCTGTAATAAGATTGAATATGAGAAGTTTCTTGAATGGGATAGATGAAACTTTTCAGTTGGAGAAGGGAGGTTTTTGGTGTTAGATGTTTCAGGTTATTTTAATGTGAATCATAGGCAGGTTACAGTCTATGAAAGAATGTAACCAAACTTGCTGCCCTCAAGTCTATTGGACTCTA